CTGTTTTACCAAATACATTTAGCTTTACACAACCACAAACATGGGCATGTTTACAGTTTAAAGCTTTTACGCTGATGTTTTCCAGAGCCTTTTGGAGCTTATTTGGCAAAATGGTCCACCAGCAATTAACTAACCATATGTACACAGACAATTAAATTAGATTAGCGACTGCATTCCCACCACATCAAAGATCTCTGTGTTAAGTGTTTCCACTTAATGATGCAGGCTGCAATTAGATGAAGGGTCACCTCCAAATGGACTTTGCAAAAATGCAGACCAGAGGACCTCCGTGTGGGATGTCACGAGAGGCTGCAGATTAAAGCATTTTCATCTGGTGTTCATATTTGTTGTTGTTTTAATGATGTCCGGAATATTAAAAGCGACAGACAGCTCCCTGGGCTTGTGTTGCACCAAAGAAAGATCCTCCCACTCTAACGAGTAAATGCAGACGTCCTAAAAGGACTGTTTTTAAATGTATGTAAGCAAAAAATTTAATTATCAGATGTGGATATTTTATTTTCAGTTGTAAGCACAGCAGCTAATAGTTAATGAATTATTATAAAAGAGGTACAGTGATACTTACAAGTTTTTAAATGCTGCTTCTGGGCATAATTGTCTTCAGTTCATTTGAATCCTTACGTTTTCAGGTCTATGTTCAGGCTTTAATGCTGATATTCAGATAACCATAATTCCTCCCTCTATCTAATATTTGGATATATGTTCATTCTCAAGTTGCCAAGAAATGATATACATTTGTAACTATCAATACGCTTTTGCTATTACTATATTTGAATATTTGAACATCCTAACAGTAGAGCTAGAAACCATTTAAGTTGGTTGTTTTTCTGGCATGGGCTTGATTGTTGAGTCCAGTCCAGTCCGCATGCTTAATGTTAGCCTTTGTCATCTAATCCAGAACGAGTTTTGATGTGACTTTTAATTAATTGTCTTGTTTGAATGCCTAACCAGGAGACGATTGTATCGGAAATGTGTCTTATAAGGAAGTTCTAGTCATGACTGGCAGCAGCCCAGAGTTTACAGAACCTTCACATCTAAACTGATAAAGTTAACATCATCATAAATAAAATAAAATATTCCTCGATTAAATCATTTACCTTAACAACATTCCCTGACAACAGCACCTGTAAGTCAATTTTTTCTGAAAACATTTCTTTCCCAGATTGTTTCAGACTTCAGGCACCAAAAGTGAAAAGTAAGTTCTCACAACAAAGAGAATATTGTCTGGTGGACTTTTTTTTTTCTATGTAGGCCAACAAAGACAAAGGGAGAAGTCCAAGTCAAGGCCTTATAAATAAAAATAAAAATGAACTTGGTTAGTATGATGAGGAACCAGCTTGGAACCTGTCACAAAATCAAAGCTGCTAAAACATCACTGCCACCTAAAAGCTCACAGGAATTAAAAATCCTAGAATATAAAACACTATGCTGACAGTTTGCTGAGCTCATATGTATTGTGAGTTTTTTGAGCTGAGGAAAGGTTTCATCACCATCCTTCACAACAGTCTCTATTCCCTGCGAACATTCTCGCAGCAACTTATCGAGTGTTTAAACTCTGAGGGAAATGCGCCTTCGCCTCCACGAACCTCCTGACCTGTTCTGTTGCTGGCACGTTTGATTAACTTTCCTCACACATCCAACCCGAATCAGGGTCACGAAGGTCACGGAGCAGACAGATATCTGTAACAATAACGCTTCACTCCAGTCTAATATGGGTTTGAAGTAAGCAGGGAAAATTCAGAGGATTGAAGAATCTGAAGGCCAGAAGGTTGAACAACAGGAATTGAAACTGTTTAACAAAAAAAAAAAAAAAACCTTACTGAAATTTTTGTGCTGCACATTTTTCCTGCTTCTGTCCCATCATTAACTTTGATGGCGAAATGCTTCCTAATATGTCACATCCACTAATCAGTAGTCACTTCATCTGTTGGGGGTCATAATGATATGCCTGATTGAGGTACATTGTAAAACACTTTATAATACATACTTTATTTGCAGGACATGATTATGAAGTGGAATCTTTATATGTTGTAAAAAAATAAATAAATAAATAAATAAATCATCGTGAGCACAGCCTATTTAAATTTTTATAGCTTGAACATGAATAAGATGATAATTGCTCTTTAATTTTTATTCAGTAAAACAAATTGAGGCCTAATTTGATTCAAACAAACCATTTACAGTTTGGCACGCGTCGTTTCCTGACAGGTTCCCCCGACCCTGGAGAATAGTTCTGGAGGGTATCGATCTGCAATTTTCTTTAAGTGCCAACTGCTAACTGTGATTATGCATATCCACATTTACAATTATCCACGAGTGGCGCGTGCATATATCCATACCCAGTCACCGCATACACTTCCACACTACACTCCTGCTATTGATTTTTTTTTTTTACACAGCAAACAGAGGGGCTGGGGCTATAGAGAGAGCATTACACAGCCAAGGGTTGTTGCCAAGGGAGACCAAGGAGCTGCAGCGACTTAAAAAAGAAAAGAAAAAAAAAAAGAAGAAGAAAATAGCACGGTACCAGCGTCCACGAAAAAGGCACTGATCGCCAAGCCTTATGTGGCGAGGGAACTGCATCACGGGCGGAAGAAAAATGGATAAACTGAACTCAAAAAGCACTAATGGATTTTCTTTAGACCGGGGTCATGGCGGTAGATCAGCGGTGAAGATGAGGGGGTTTGTCGGTCAATAGAGGTGTCACGGCTCGGGTCATTCCTCTCAGACTCCTTCACTGCTGATACAGACGGTTTCAGGGAGTGAACAACAGCGTAGATACGTCGGATGGATTTTTACTAACACAACAAATGCATACAAGGGCACCTGCCTCCTTGAGCATGACACAAATATCATATATATATATATATATATATATATATATATATATATATATATATATATATATATATATATATATATATATATATATATATATATATATATATATATATAAAGAAAGAAACACTAATGTTTTATCTATCCCACAAAACTTCAACAAAGTACATTAAAGCAAGAAAATGTGCTTTGGGGTATGAAAAGTTTTGCAAAATTAAACATTTAAACAGATGCATCAAAGGGATCACAACAGAAGAAACTGTTCATTAGTATAATTAGAAGTTGCGAAAGACTGACTTAAGCGTCTCACGCCATTATAAGTATTTATGTGGCAACAAATTAAATTGTTTTAAAAGTGACAAATATAGGAACCTAAGACACTGCAACTGACTCAAAGATATCTGTGAGGTACAAAGCCTGATATTTCTGGTTCGGTTGCGCTGCAAAGGTCCATCGTTATAGCCGTCAGGATGGTATGAGTGAGTCACCGTGTTTCGCTGGATGACAGTTCCTTTGTTAAAATGTAAATGGGCGCTGATTCTGAATCGGTTCCACGTTTGCTGCTTTACGGCCAAAAATATTCCCCACGGGAAAAGAAAGGCACCAGTTGAGCTTTGACGTGTACCTGTACAAACAAAACTTCAGCTTCGTCCTTCTCGCGTCCAAGCGTGATTGTTTGCCGTCACGCAGCCGAAACAGGAAGCTGTCGTTGGCCTTTCCGATCATTAAATAAATGCTGCCGGTTCGGCACGGGGCTTCTTTCCCTTTTCCTCAGGTAGTTGGAGAAAATAGTTTCCCGGCGATATTCTCCTTAAACAGTGTGCAGCGTGTTTCATTTTGGGGGTCATGGAGATGTTAATGAATGGCAGCATCTGTTGCACATTGCGGTGATAATCATTAGGGCACAGTGGGTGATGGGGAGGCGGCGGTAGTTCGTGTAGCTGTAAGAACATTAACATACGCTTGGGCCTTATGGCGGCACTGTGTCAGGATGCAGCTGCTGCGTCTCTTTACCCCAGCATGATGCGCATTCCCAGACAGGCAGGCTTTATTTCAAGAAAGGGCCCTGCCTTGACAGAGTTATTTTTTCTTTTATCTTTTTTTTTTTTTTTTTTTACATGGCTTTGAGAAATGACTTTTCTGCTTCGCCACCCTGAGCATGTAGTCGGGGATCACAACATCCCTCAGACTACAATCAATTACTCCTCTCTGTGCTGACTGATGCTTTTAAAAGTGACATTTATGCAGTGCCTGGTTTCTTATATAACCCTCTGTGCCATACGCTCGTCGTTGTAGGGATTTCTGTTTGTCACTGGTAACTCGCTCAGGACTGGGACTTGGAGCTTTAAGGTGGGTTTTATAAAACATCCATCCTGCTTTTTCACTCACTTCAAATAAGTTCAGATAAGAATCACAGCAGCAATGGTTAAGCCATAACGATGACAGTACTACCGCTTTTAATAATGTTGGCAATTATAATAAACTGATGACAGTTTTAATTATAAATGGGCTGTAACTTCAGAAGTGTCATCAAGTTGCTCTATGAGATAAAGTCATTATTTCCCAGCTGTTTGCTGCACCAGATGAAAGATGAACGGTGACAAAGTGTCTGCTCCTGCTTGGCCTTGTAGGGTGTAGTGGTGGACTGGTGCCTTTCTCCAGCGGTCATAATTTAAGACAAGAGCACTGCCAATCAAGCTTGTATAAGTGCTGCTCACACTTTTCCCCGTTCTCTCCACTAAAGCTAGTTATCATGGCCGCCGTGTCGATGGATAAATGGTTTTTCTGGAACAATCAGTTGCTTCTCCACTATTAGCACAGCTGCATGAGCTTGATTGACAGCGCCAAGACCTTCCACTTGGTTCTGATTGGTCGTGTCTGACATGGGAGCGGTAAATTTCTCCAGAAGGCAAAAGTAGCACAGAAAGAAGTTTTTTTATTTGTTTGTTTGTTTGTTTATTTGTAAATCACTTTTTTTTGTTCACACAGATTATCTTGGTCTGATTCAAATTGTTTTGTTTGATGGTTTAAATTACATTTATTGTGAGAAAAGGGCAAAACACTAATACTTGCAGTTGCAGTGCAAACGTCAATGCGGACCACCACATTTGATGAAAACACAACTTCCTCTCTGTGGCGTCTAGGTATGGCAGTGCGGGGGCAGCATGGAGGTCCTGCCGTGCGCCAGGGTCGCCCACATCGAGCGCACCAAGAAGCCCTACAACAACGACATCGACTACTACGCCAAACGCAACGCCCTGAGAGCGGCGGAGGTGTGGATGGATGAATACAAATCCCACGTCTACATGGCCTGGAACATTCCCATGAACGTGAGCCTCTCTTCACTCCGCGCTTTAATCACTATGCGAACAAGTGAGAATGAACCTCTCACTTGTTCAGTCAAACCTGCAGGCCAGGTGAGACGCTGATCAATCAAAATTCAAAATTCAGATTTCATCCTGCGTGGCCTTCACACTGGCAGTGGGCCGAGTGAAGGGAAAGAAGAACTGAGTCAGACGAGAGGAGCACTAAGTAAAGAGAAAACAAGCCTCATGTCAGTTTTGTATAATTGCCTTTAAGAGTCTGCTGAGATGGGCTGCAAACGACTAAACAGCAGCTTTTATTAACGGAGAGTTTAATATTGAATTCTGATTCCCTCCTTCTGCGCTGAGGAGATGCTTATGAATGAAGGACAGCTCAAATCTCAAAATGCTTCTTAAAACAACGTGTTATTTCTGAAAATTTTAGTCATATATAGCTACTATATTCATATGCATGTACACTCTTCTAAAATGAAACCACATCAAATCCAGAACAGAATCAGCAGATTCCAGCAGGAGCAGTGGAGATACATACGGGGAGACTAAAAGGTGGCAGGTGACGAACTAGCCATTACCGAACTCAGTGGCATGGCATGTTATTACCCCAGCTGTCCTGTGGCGGGGAGTTATTTTGTGTACTGTAAAGGCCTAATGCTACGATTATTTCATCAAACCCCCTCCAAAGTCCCCCATACACACTCACAGACCCTTGTTATTGTCTGAGGTGCCTGCTGAGAGCACAATTGCTTTGAATGGAGAAGGCTTTATGATTCGCCACAGTGGGCAGCCCTGAGTCCAAATACCAAACAGCAGCTCGGAGAATCTGAATGTGTGTGTTGGTGCTCCAGTAGCCGAGAAGCGAGTGGATATTTCGAACTGGAATTCATCATCGACACAGATTTGAAGCGGGCTTCGACGCTGGCCGCAGAAAAGGCTTTTCTTGGAAACGGCATGCGGTAGCAGATTTGTGCGTTGCTGTGTGTATCAATCTCTTTGTTTTAATACACACAGCTGTGCATCCTAACTGGACCTACACCAGGGCTGCACTCATCCACTTTTTCCCACTTCCAATACCGATACATATACCTGAGGTTTAGTATCGGCAGACATCAATCCGTCACAGAAAAGCAGAACTTAATTGACTAAAGACGTTTCATTTTTCTCAACGGGTTTAAATGCACTGAATTAAAAATTTATTCAGTTCTGCACTGGGGTTCTGTGCACCAGTGCAGAACACTTTAATGCACCATTAGCTTCACAAAGTTGGTCAAACATGTCAAAACAACTTTTATTTGTTCAGTGAGTGCAAACAGTAGTATAAAAGCCAGTGTAAAGTAAATGATAAAGATATTGAAACTGACAAAAACAATAGGTTGATTATATTGGCCAAACATAGTCAAAAATAAACTGCAACAAATCTTCTTTTCACTGGTTCAGAAAGTGCAATTAGGGATTCTAAAAATATTGTAAAAATAAATAATGAAGCATGACGTTGCTCAGAGCACAAACATGGAAATGTTTGGGTATCACCGATACCCAATGTAGAATTATTTTTATATTCTGGACTTGTACAGATATTGATTTTGGATTGGTGCACAATGCATTTATTTCCATATGAGTCCACATTAATGCAGCACATATTGATATGCATACAGCGTGTGTGTCAGAATTAGGCCCGAGGCATTTCAGCTACTGGGCCTTCTCCCCAGTCAATTCGGAGACCGTCCTCTATAAAGCTATCTGGACGTGAGCGCTCATAATCAAGCAGCTGATTAGGATCTGCTAAGTACAGATCATGTCTAATGGAGAAACAATGAAGGTCTTACATGACGAAGGCATCTGTCTGTGTCTTGCCTAAATGCTAATGGCATCTTTTCAACGCTGTATAACTCTTCCTTTCCTGCAGAAGATTCTGCTGTACTGTGTGTTGCACCTGACTTTTTAATTATTTTTTTTTTATTCTTTGTCCTCTCTTTGTCTTTGCTTTGTGCCACATGCTGACAGAACCCGGGAGTTGATTTTGGCGATGTCTCAGAGCGCGTGGCCTTAAGGAAAAGGATGCAATGTCGAAGCTTTCGCTGGTACCTGGAGCACGTCTACCCGGAGATGCGGATCTACAACAACACCATCACATATGGCGAGGTGAGAAGGTCGCTTGCTAAAGGAATTATTGGATATGAACTGAATGTTTAATTAAGCATAACATAAGCTGTGATTCTGTTGCAGGTGATGTAATAACAGGGAGATGTTTTTAAAGAGGATGCTAAAAGAAAGGTGGATAGTTTGATTCAGCAAATGATCAATAATGAAAATGAGCTCTTCAGAGGCTTTTTTGTGTGATTTTCCTTTTAAAGCAAGATTTCTTGGGAAAAAAAAAACATGTTTGAACCCACCAAGCTATCAGTCAAGGTCACAGTGCTGCTGAATGCCTAAAACATTTGAAAATTTTGTCTGAGGTCCTTAAATCACCTGTCTATTGCCTTCCTGTGCAATTCTGTGCAAAAAAAAAAAAAAACTTTCGCTTCCAGCACCGTCTGGTCTTTCTCCCCATGACTCAGATTCTCTTTTTTTCCGGACCAGACAGCAAACAGAAGGGGAAGATGTTAACAATGACGTTGATTTCTTCACTGTTTTAGAATTACAGCCTGTCTGTAGATTTAGCAATGGCAGCATGTTGACCTCGCTTCCAAATATTGAGGTAACATTAACGGCCGTCTCGTTCGGATCAGCACTTCTCTCTCCGCAGTGGAGGATGGTTGTTTACAGCTCGGGCAATTTCCGGTAAGCTTCATAGCGTTGAACTGCCGCATTACATGCAAAATTATCTTTAGCTGTCAGTACTTTAAATCACCAGTGCTGTTTGATTTCCAATCTTTAAAGAACCAACGTGCTCCTCGGACATGAGACAGGTCGGATCAGATATTTGTGAAGAAGAGACTCTGATCATGATATTTCTTTGTTCCATAAATTCAACAAGGTGTCAGAACCACAAGGTTTGATTCATATCGACATGATAGTATCACACACCTGAGGCAGATTTGTTGACCAAGGAAAAGAAAATCTTGCAAAAAAGAAGAAAAACCTGTAAGGGGGAAAATATTTTTTCACAATATCACGTAGCTGGAGAGTTTTTGACATGCAAGAAGGAGTTGATGAGTTTCACTATTAGAATGTAAGGTGAAGTGGAAATGTTCCCCAATTTGCCAAACCAGAAAGTCTTACTACTGCTTCACCCTGCCAATAATAGATCACATAAAGAACCGAGGCATCCCTGTACCTTTGTGGGGAAACTAATCAAACATAACCTTTTTAAATAAAGCAGTAATCAACAAAGGCATTGACCGGCGAGACAATATGACACCGACAGGCCAAATGCCTTGTCCTCAACCTCTCACATGACAGACAAACACCAGGACTCCAGTGTTTCAGATTTAGGGTGAATTTCTTTAACAGAACAACATCACTACACAAAATTGGATGCAATTTCCCTATAATGAGTTTTAATTAAACACTTATTAGTTTTCCATTCCAGCTTGATTGTCTTGTGTCTGCTTAAGCACCCGGCACAGTTGGGGGGGAAAGAAGCATTTTACAATGGCAGACTGGAGAATTGAGCAAACTCCTGAGTCCGACGTCTTTTTCAGACATGTTGAAACGCGGCATTTTGTAACCCGCATCCATTTTGAATATGGCATAAACTCTGAGGGGGAAAAAAAATCAGAAGGTCTAACCATGTCAGCAGGAGTCGAGATTGTATTCATCAAAGTATGGGGCGATTCACACTGTCCTTTGTTTCCTCCGCCGCCTGTTTTTTTTTTTTTTTTTTTGTGCTCCAGTACCTGGCTAATGGATTTCTCAGGGTGGCGTCCTCTCAAGTGGCACTATTTCAGATCTGTCGGCACGCTGGGAAGCGGTCGCCTCGCCTCGCAGAGCCACACAGCGGCTGCGGCAGACCCGTGTCCCATCTGTCACCGAGCATCAGCACCTCGCTGCACTCAGCCGTGCCGTCCAGGCCGGCCGGGTGGAACCTTCCCCCGACCACAGCCACATGATGGATGCATCGCAACCTTGAAATGAAGCCATACACATTCAAATCACAGCGAACTGAAGCCCACAGTAAATGCACACCATCATCTCGCCTGGAGGAGAGAGCGAGACAGAACTGGGACTGGTCACTGCATGATAACATCCTGTCACGGCCGGGCCTTCGGGATGACTTGAAGCCTTGTGACGGCTGTGTGAATAAGCCATCGTGGACCTACAGGAAGCAGGAAATGTCAGAAATAGACAATGGATCGGCCTGCAGCAGCATATTAATGTAAACGGACAGCTAAATTATAAAATGCATTGATGGTCACTGAAGGATGTTTTTACTCTAAAGATGTTCATAAATTGGCTTTCACGGTTTTTCCACCCGGCAATTTGTTATGTTTTGTTTTGGGGGTTTTTTGATCGTTTTCTGATTAGCATCGGTTCGCCAACTTCAACGTAGACAGAGGTTGCAAAAAAGTATGACATCATATGTCATGGCACACTAATGATAACACTGAAGGAGCAGCAGGAATGCCTGCAAAACATAAGAATATTTGTGTTGCATTCAACACAGGACAAACAAAGCTTCTGCCTCGTTCGTGCCTGGACTATAAGGAGTAGGGAGGCGAGTCGGTAGCTGGGAAAACAGCGATGCTGGCAGAAACTAGTTTAGGGTGACTTCTGATGAAACCAGATTGTCTTTGAGGTGACTGAGATTATGAACAGCTGGGATTAGCAGCCATTTTTAACCACAGACCTTTAGCAGGCCGCTTAAAGAACTACAGGTGAAGAGTTTCAGCATGAAAGTGGGACAAATCAAATTTGACCAGGGCTGAAAGTTTGTACATTAATCATTCCTAAAGCTGAATTTAATAGTACTTGAGCTTGGCCGTGTGTTCACGCTTTCGTCATTGTGCTTTTTCACAAAATATTGTATCAAATTTGGGGAAAGAAAATGTCATACTTTATCTTTGACATTTTTTCCTCTGAAAATCTTAGCATTTTTACTGGTGTGTAGCTTTTATAGCCACTCGACATATTGCATGTACTGTACATTATCTACATCTAACGAAACCCTTATAAGTGATTATTATTTACAATATTTCTTAGTATCTCTGGTTTGAAAGAACGGGATCTCCAAGAGTTAATTCAGGGTTTTTGAAGAGAAACTCTGTAAAAAGGAAGGAAGGATTTAATGTCAGACCTGCAGTAGAAACTCTCTTGCCATCTTTAATTATTATAAATCCAGATTAGTCGGTCCCAGAGGTTGAAGATAACAGCTAGTCCAAAGCAACAAAAAAAAAACACATCACAATACTTTATGAGTAACACATGTACAATCAGGACAAAATGTTTCAGCCAGAATACCTAATGAAAGATCATTTAGGCAGTGCAATAATTATCAAAATAACATTAATTTAAACTAGTATAAGTGTTTCACTCAGGAAGATGACTGCTAGCGCACCACCTTCTAGTTCTATTTCCCATATTTCTTTATTTTTTCTTTCTTTCTTTCTTTTTTTTCAAAAAAGCATCCACTTCTGAGTAAATGCTGCCCAGTGCAAAAATAAAAACACTTTTAGTATCCGTCTCTTGAACCGCTGTGACGTTTTTAAGGCTGGAGTTGTTTTTGATGCACGAATCCCTTTTAATCCCCTCCACTGCACCCTCCAGACTAGCCATTTGGGGACCAACTAATCTGGATTTATACTAAGTAAATTTCTCAGGTAACATTTTAGCTGCTTCTAACCTTTCAACAGAAGTTTACTTCAAAAAGTCGGGAGTATTCCCCTTTGGTCTCGCCAACATGAAACGCTGCCAAGGGTTGTTTTGATGTACATTCCCAGTAACTACACTGATTTAAGTTACTTAATTAACTTAAATCTAGATACATGTCTTCTTCTGTTTCATTTCCCCTGAGGTTAATATATAACTCAGTTTGCAAAAAAAAATAAAATCAATCATTCAGCTGAATGATGCAGAACAACAGTAAGTTGACAAGAACTATAATGAAACACTTTATTGGTGATTTCCAGGGTTAGCTCTGGGTGTTTTTCACTTTCCATATGCCCCGATTCTTTATCGACGGAGCCGGATCTGGATTCTTCCCCGTCAGTCAAAATGTCCCCTGTGGTTTTTCCTTCCAGGTGAGAAACAGTAAAGCCAGCGGCTACTGCCTGGACCAGGGCTCTGAGGACGACGACAAAGCCATCCTGTACCCGTGCCACGGCATGTCCTCCCAGGTCAGGGTGCTCTTCCTGCGTCGGTTGTTATGCGTTTGTGAAATTCATCATTCATAAAAAAAAAAAGAAAAGTCATTCAAAGCATCACTGTGCCATTGATTAAGAAGTTTTGCTTCAGTTTCAGATTTCATACTCCCTTGAAGAATATTTGACATAATTATTCTCCTCTTCATGCTTTATGGAGAGTGAAATCAAATTTGCTATTGGAAGTGGTGGCAGGAGAGAAGCGTGCGGCTTAAATAGTCTCTCTTTGCACGAGCGTGGACACCCACACGCGTCATCTGGTGAAGATTTTCACCGCGGAATAACACGTTTTCTTTAACAGGTGATCCAGCTGATAAGGAACTAAAATAAGTGATGTATGCAGAACTCTCATCCTTAGTTTCTATCTTCTACACATCTGTTAGTTCTTTTGGGGTTTTTTTTTTCGGATGCACAACTTCACAAATGCCACAGAATCCTATGTGCTTAAGTTTGCCATAGAGCAGAGGAGACGACTGTGGATCAGATCTTTGGTGCATAATCATGTTGTGATCCTGCAGAGGTTGTCAGAAACGCTGTGAGGTAAAGCTCTGATCTGAGGAATACTGAAGGTGTCTTTAAATCCTTTACATGCAGTTCACATAATCATACTGTGCAAGCTGAGAACGCATTATCGCTACAGCAGATTTATTTAAAAAAAAAAAGTAATTGCTTTTTTGCAGAGAATATTACATGTTGCAGGAAGCACATAAGTCCCCACTGCCAATGTCAGCGAGTATTTTTTTTTTAGAAATGTTACATGAATGAGCAAAGATTCACCTAAATAACAGATTAAAAACATTAAACATCTTTGTTGTTGAGCTCGTATGTCGTTTTATTAAAAAATACAGCAGCAAAAAGTCTTTTGAATTGAAAGTTAATAGGCAATATGACTTTGGATAAAAGTGCGATTAATTGAGATTAATTATTGAACCTGCAATTAACTTGATTGAAAAAAATGTCATTGATTCCAACCCCTACTTTTAAGATATTATTTTAAGATATAAGATTTAAGATGTTATATTAAACACTGTTCTATGGTTTTCTAGTCTTGCTGCCATGAGCAATCATTCATATTAGACGTGTTGTTCTGAATGACAAAACATTCCATGTAAAATAGTGTTCTACTAATATTTGAATGAACAAAATTTTATGATTGCAAGATTTTTGACTCTTCTGTTAATTTCTTGTGCCTTTTTTATTATTTATTTATTTTTATTTTTTTATCCAATATCTTATTTGTTATATTTTTTGCTATCATTTCCAAATCCAGCATGTTCCCTCACAAACTTTTGAACATCAGAAGGCTAAAGAAGCGACTTTACTGTCATGCGTTCTCTCTTGCAGGATATTATGATTTGAATATCCTGTCAAATTATAAACCACTGTGGGGTTTGTTTGAGTCAGTGCTGTTGACTCTAAACATCTAACTCTGAGATGTTTCCTTTAATTATGGTAACTCAACAAAGAAAACCAATACAAACAAATCATCTCAATGCTCTCTGACTCTGTTAATTCACATTGTGCTCTAAGCAGCAGTTGGCACCATTAGCAGTAATGGTGCTAATGGTGCAGTAATGGATCTTGAACTCCTAATTTGTGATTTTACAAAGATTCAAGCTCAGTAAACCGACGTTACACATCTTCTGCTTTATTATAAAACACCTTATTGGTCATGAAACGTTGAGTCTCCAACTCACAATGAACCACTGTTGTTAATGTAGTCAGCAACATATTCCCACCATTTGGCAGACAATTGAATGATACCGGTCATCGGATGATTTTTGGTGCATTTTTTCTTTAATTTCCGAACCTTAAGCTTGATTTTCTTGAAGTAGTCAAACATAAATCATGTTTTTAGAGGTAGACCAGTGAGTTGCACATCGTACTTTGTACAGCAGCTTAGAGCTCTGCAGCCTTTACACAACAAAAACATATTTGTACTCAGTTAAGCATATTGTCACCTTCTGAAAATATTGGCCAAAGATTTTGGTTTTGTTTTTTTCTAAGTCACCTTTTGGCAAAGAAAAAATAAGAGACAAAGCATTGGTGATTTTTCTTTTATTATTATTATTTCTGCAAAAAATGACTTAGGCCCTCATTTTAGGAAGGTGACAATATTAAAACTATCTTTGAGGCAGAATATGACGTCCTTTTGGAAAAAAGACTATTGTGATTTTTTGTTTTAAAATAAATAGACATAAGTTTTGCAGAAAGAGGGTTTGTTCACTTTCTCCTCACAGTGCTCTAGCACATACATTTACATGCACAAATATTGATGTAAAATGATCAAAAGTCCTGTAAGGACGTTCTGTAACAGACCTTAACTCATCTCATTTGAAACTCGGTTGCACACTGATCAGTTCAGTCCTATCATTTTACAATGCCAGCAGGTTTCAGGTTAAGTTACATACAGAGCAATTCGATCCAATTAGTTCCTCTTCAAAGAATGCATTATAAGTAGGGGCATGTGCTTATATCTGCACCACACTTCCTGAACATAAAACACACATTCGTCCGATGATGTTGTGCATTTCTGAAAAGTCCCTTCAAGTTGCCCTAATCAGAAGCTGGAGTGTTGAGATCGGGGCTCTGCGGGGGCCGCCCCATCTGCTTCAGGACTCCTGGTTGCTCTTGTAGCCGAGCAAAGTTATTTTTAACTCTGCCGTATGTTTGCAGACATTGTCACACTGAATTAGTGACTTTTGAATACACACAAAAGCTCCTTAATGGGACTGTACTATAAAGATTTGAAACATCCGAAAACCGAGACTTTTCACCGACTGACCAGAAGTCTAGGGGCAAACAGAGGTGAAAACTGACCTTCCTCAGAATACATGATATATTTTTGTGCTGCGAATAATATAATTCCAGATTCAATCGTTTATTGAATTGCAACCAAATAAAAAGCATTTTACTTAAAGATAGTAATGGAAACAGTATTGAAAATATTGGATAGTATTTGGAAACTCAAATAATCAGGTATAAATAAATGTCTGACAAACAAAAACCTTTTTTTTCTCTTTGTACTGTATGATGATACTTTGCAAATATGCTCAGGATGCAAATGAAACACTAACAATCTGGGGCACTTCAAGGGGAGAGAGTGTGAAAGAAGCATACCAAAAGATCCAGATGAGAAATGGATATGTGCTCAGCAAAAACTTTGCTTAGACACCAGAATAAATAAAAGCCAAACTAGATGTTTTTGTGTGTTTTTTTATTTATTTTTTTTTTTCAATTTATTAAGCAGAATCCAGCTCTGGTTGTTATGGAAATGCTGTTCATGCATTTTTTTTTTTTTTTTTATCTCTTACTTTCCCAACTTACATAACGCTCTTGACAAAAACATGCTTATTTTCTGGTATTAAATGGAGCTTTAGAAGAAGGCCATGACATAACATACCAACATATGTTAGCTATTGCATCTGTATGTTATTACATACATGTGTAATAGCATACATGTTCTGTATGTTGGTACAGAATATATTCTGTACTAACAGAATATTTTTTATATGTGATACATTTTGATATGAATAACAAATATTTTCAGACTGCTAACGCGGCTGTACAGATGTACATTTTGACACAAGAGGCCTTTCTGTTTTTTACATAATTGTGTTAAGGATGAAAAACAAAAAGTGAAATAATTATCATAAAGCATCAAAATAATATGGTGAAATAATATAACAATACGTAATGACAATTTCGACCCATGAACGTTTTTCTTTTCAAATTTAATTGGTGCGGTTTATATTCAGGTGCTCACTATAGTCCAGGAATTACGGTAAGTTTCGAGCCAACGGATGCGTCTGATTTAACAGGTTAGAAGAGTTTGAAATCCTGAAACAGAAGAGATCTGCACTGCAACTCAAACATGTCACACGTTTATCTTTATCAACTGCTTGGCTCAGACGTCAAAAGGAAAGCGGCGTGCGTGCGTGTGCGTGCGTGTATGTGTGCAATATCTGTTAACAGCTTATCAAAGGCAGAACCCAGAACGACTGCATGTTTGTCAATGTGATTAAACCAGTTCACACTTGGATAGGTGTCAAGTGTTTGTTTGCAGATTCACACTTTTTTTTTTTTTTTTTTTTTGAAAAGCTACAGAAGAGAATACACTGACTTATTCCTATATGCAGACTTCAGTCAGTCGGCCTTTTGAATTATCTTTGAAGCTGAGTCAAATATTACAAAGTTCTATTTAAATAAACAGTCGGTCGGTGTCAAAAATTTTCTTGTCGAGACGCTGGAGAAAACCTCAACAAATCTTTTTTGTTTTGTTGTTTTTTCTTCGGTGTTTGGGGTAGAACTTTGAATCCAAAATCATCTGAAAACTCAGATCCCTTACGACTGTTTCATCTGTCGAACCAAGACCTCTTAAAAAGATACATGCTGAAAAGTTTACATATTTTTATACTGTAATTTGTGACTCTGGATTACAGTTGACCAGTGAACGTCAGAAAGATAACACGTGCATTTCATTACATCTGAATATTTATGGGAGTTATTAAGATTGATCAGGTTCACCATTGATTTGGTTACGGAATTGAATTTTTCTTGTTTACCAAAAGCTTTTTTGTCTCAACCAGAACTAAATGTCATTCACAGCTAAAGGTTTTCGCACCACTTGTAGGATTTTAAAATGTGCACTTCAACATTCCCAGGGAACAAGCACAACAATACGCAAGAGTTTTAAAGGGGGCGCTGTTGTTGCACTTAACACCTTCTGATTGTTGTCATCTCATTTGCCAGCAGGGATTTCGCCCATCAATAATAAATAATGTCTGAGCTCTAAATTATGCAACAGCTGCGATCAACACAAAACACTTTTGTGAAAGGTATTAAACAATGTGGAGTCAAGTTATTTTGTTTTTTTTGTTGTGTTTTTTTTTTCCATTCCACTTTTCAAATAAGCAAAGCGGACTAAATAAGTATTTGGTTTAAGTTAAAATTAGGACCCAAAAAAAAAACCGAAACATAAATCTCCCGGTGTGACATTATCAAAGCATAAAATATTAATGGAATTAGATGCATTTCGAAGTGAAGTGTTTGTTTCACGGCTTCAAGCAGTGACTCCCATGATGACAGTGTTTTCCATTCGTACTTTGTGTGTTCCAGCTCGCCCGCTACTCCACCGAGGGTCTTCTCCAGCTTGGACCCCTGGGGTCCACCACATTTCTTCCTGACACAAAATGTCTCGTTGATGACGGCAGAGGACGAACCCCGAGTCTGAAAAAATGCGATGCCGTCTCCAGGATTTCCCAACGGCTTTGGGATTTTACGCAGGTACAGAGAAAAAAAAGAGAGAGAGAGAGAAGAAAGAGCATTAAATAGCAGAGTTTCAGGAAATGTCGCTGGTTTTAAAATAATCTCATTCTTATTTGGCCTCTGTTGTAGAACGGGCCGATCATCAACAGAGACACGGGTCGGTGCTTGGAGGTCGAGATGTCCAAAGATGCCAACTTTGGTCTCCGCCTGGTGGTGCAGAGATGTTCCGGTCAGAAGTGGATGATACGGAACTGGATCAGGCACCCCAGGCACTGAGGAGGCCGTCTTTCCCGGACGCTTTGGCCAGCATTTCCAATCGCAGCGGCGGACTGCTGAGGGAGGAGCAGAGAGCGGTTTATTGCCGCGAGGTGTGGGATTTCACGCTACGAACTCGCAAAGCACGCCGGCCTCCAACTCGGGCAGCAGAGGTTCCGCTGCGACGAGCCTTAAAGACGAACACGATCAATGTACTTGTTCCCCTGGGCTTCTTCCTGCTGCCACAACCTTGGGCAGAGCCGCACTGTTTGAAATGGCCAACCTCTCTGACATTCAGCCATATATATAGAGCACATCCCCTTTGTGCAGTCCGGTTCAATACTCTGCGGCTTAGACTCTACTGTAAAACTCTCGCTTCATGGGAAGAAAAAGAAGAAGAAAAGACATGCTGGGCTTTTTGGGGCCTATTGACTTTCACAAGGTGGACTGGGGTAAATTAGGAGCGATAATTGTTATCAATGGCCAGATGAAACTGAGTCTTTCGGGAGTAATTTGAGGAAGTAGCTGTGGACATAACGTGCCGCCCTGGCAGGACATGTAATGAGCTCCAGAGCTGCTGGCTGTCATCCAAACAGGAGCGACTTCACCTGTACTCACACTTCTTCGTTTCTGTGGACTGTATGGCTCACTGTGGACAAAAAAAAAAAAAGAAAGAAAGAAAGAAAGAAAGAAAAGCAATCATGTGCCTTTTGTTTATGATTTTTCAGCTTCATCTGACCCGAGAATGTCAGCCCCAAAAGCATGTATAAAGCTATTTGAAAGTTAAATTATAAAAAGTGTATAAAGACGGTTAATAATAGTAATATATTGTAAAAAAGAAAGCGAAAGTGGATAACTGATAAATGTCCTCAAAACAATTACTATTAGAATATTAAAAACCCTCTTTATTAGTTGCCTGTCTTTCTTTTTCAAACTCTTCTTTAACAAATGTTAGCCTTTTCTTCACGTTGTGCTGTCATTGTGTTCGGTGAATACCTGCGTTTTCTTTTGTTCCGGGCCCGCTGCCGACATTGACAGAACAATTGCTTGTCTTTTGTTGAGGCCGCGGTTACAGACAGCGAAAGTCTCCATCATGTTTGTGTCCCTCTGCTCTGATTGATCCAGACCACTAACTGGAAAGAAGTTCTTCAAAGAGACACAAACAGACTTTCGATGGCTTCTTGTCCCTGCCACAAAACAAAGAGGTGTACATTTTTACTCTGTTTTTTTGTTGATTTTTTATTATTATTATTATTTTTATCCAGAATAAACACATAAAACAAATGCAGTATGCACAAGCAACATTGGATCTTTGTTAGTTTCAAGAAAAGTATTTGAGCAAAAAGGGGCATTTTGAAGGCGTCTCTCACCGGTGTGTTTCAAGTCATTACAGTACGAGTGTTTCCATAAAAGAAATTAAATGTTAATAAATACATATTATATCATTCAAAGTATTTTTTGATTTTCAAATTCGCATATTAGTCTGAGTGACGTCAAACCTTCTAGAAAGGTTTTCCAGTTGGTGTGTTTTTGGGGATTTCCTCAGCTCTGATGTTAGACGGTAGCTGCATTTCCACTGCAAATGTGTGAAAAATGTATAAAAAATAAAAAAAACACAATTTTGTTATTGTGTTGTTTCCATTAAATAAAAATTGGGGGGAAAAAAACACAATTAAAGTCACTCTTCACGTCGTTCTCGTGCTGCGCCGTCATCCGACCACTTCCTGTCGGTCTCACGGTTGTGAGTGGAAATCAGCCGGCCACATTAATCCCCAATGCACTCAACGTTAAAGTTGAAGCTGTGCAGGCAGGAGAGAGTCGTTCTCCATGTAACTCTGCTCATACACACCGAGGGAACATGAAATTTTAAGCTCTGACTGTAGAAATCGACTATATACCTCACGCTTGACATGTGACGTTGTTTTTGTGGCACACAAAGCTTTGTGAATATAAAAAATTCATTTTCACCTTCAACTGCCCGAACCATCTTCACTCCGACTTGTTTGATTTCTCTGTGTCTTTATGACTGATATGGTGCAAAAACACCATATTTGTGAAGCATTTGGTAGTTGTTGGGTTTTTTTGTAATAACAGCTAATCCCGCCTGAGCTGTGGATCTCTGTTGCTCCTCCAAAGTTACTCTATTTATTAATACTCCTTGCCCTTTCTTGTCAGTTCAGCTAAAAGGCAATGTACGCCAGCTCTATGCCATTTTTGAATGTTGAATTAAACACGGTTCTTTGAAACGTCCACGGTTTGGGATATCATTAACTAAATCAGCCCTGCTTTCAATTTCTCCGGTGTGCTCCTTGGTCTCGATGGTGCTGTTGGATCACTAATGTTGTTTGTCGGCCCTCAACAGCTGTAACCATTTCACTTCCGCTCTACGATGATGCGTTGCGGTTCGTTGATGTTTCAAAGGAAATCCCTGTCAAAAGTTCAGGAGGTGCGTATACTTCTGCAGCCACTGTGTCTCCCTGGGCCTGTCTCTCGCTTAAAAGGTTTATTTATTGGTTCAGGAGGAAACGTCTGCTGTAAATGGAAGTCAGATTTAACATTTCCATCAAGCTGAAGAAACTATTTATATGGACTACCCTCTTCCCTGCTCTGATGTCTGAAGCTCTTTTACCAGACAGTGTGATTTAGGCTGCCGTCTGTGCTGAGCACTGAACGCATTTCTTAAGTTCACAAGAGGTCACCGTGCGTGTCCAAACGTGTTCTCCGCTGCCATCCAGCTTGAATAGAGGGCATTTCAAGCTGCTGTGGAAAGTAAAAAAGACCCTTTTCCTTGGTTCAGCCATGCTTTGTAACCTCCACGTTCCAGAGGCTGGTTTTAATTTGGTTTCCACCTGGTTGACCCTGAGAGATTGCCTCTGCTTGCCACTATGTTCCGCTTCTTCGGCTCTAATCATTCCGTATAAGCAATGCATCATCTGCGTGTCCTTTAAACAAAGACCGCTTCAGTCTCCTCTCGTGGTAATATCTCACTCGGGTCTCCGACAGGGTTTGCAAACAAGCTGCCGAGGTAATGTCTCACAGGAAAAAGAGTCCCAACCAAGAAATTACTCCAACAATATGGTTTCCTGAGACTTACGAACCGTGATGATGGCAGCAGAAGCCAAAAGACGCAACGCTGCGCCAAACGGCCAACAGAGCAAATGAGAAAAACATTTTTAATTTTATTTATTCCGCCATTTGGGAATTGTCGTAATGGCTACACTTTGAAGAAATCTTCAACATTACAAAAAAGGGTAATGTTAGGTCTTATGTTTTCAGTACTAGTACTAGTGCGGGAGAGACTGAGCCAACCGGAAAAGTCAGCTTTTAGCAACCACAAGAAAGTGCAGTTATGCTACTGGCCAAAAATATTTTTTTTTCTTGTTTGTCCTTTTTCTTCTCTCCTAAGAGGCGAGTGCTTAAGTTCGGGAGCAGTGATAAAAATATGTCCATCTCAACAGCAACAGTGTATCTCTACTGATGCAGAAACTTCATTGCCAGAGGCATGTGAGTCTGGACAAGATCCAAAAGCAAAGTGTGACCACAGACAGTGGAGTCCCTCAAAAGATTGCAATCATCATTTGTTTGTTTGCTCCCACATATTCATATTCAGCGTCATATTTAGGCTCGAGCTTGTAGGTTTCTTCAGCAGCATCTCGGACCAGAGCGGCAGAAGGCACCTTGTCCTTCCAGGCGCTGGAACTGATTCCTTGGATTGCCATCGTTACACAATACCTCGTTGTTCTTAACAACCACAGGAAAGCAAATTGTGGTGCACACCTGCAGGGAAACTGACGGCAATTAATGCTGTCCCCGGAAGACGCAGAGATTTGAACGGGCGGTTTATCTTTAATGAGCTAACCTTGACGGACTGTCACATCTGGCCGTATCGTCATCCAGTGCGTATTTCTTTATATCAGTGTGACGTAGAGGCTGTCTTTGCAGGTATATGAGCAAAATAATCAATCGAATTCGCTACTTTGGGGGGACAAGTATAAAAATGACCTTTTGGCTTTGTCAACTTCGATCTGTCTCGAGAGCTTATTAAAACGGAGAAGCAAAAAAAAAAAAAAAAACCTCCCGCTCACATCTCCCTGCAGTCTGGATGAGAGCCAGGCTTTATTGTAACTGTCACTGGGTCGTTCCAGCGCAGATTAATGTCATACTGTATATGAGCCCTTCTTAGGATGAGATATAATTTTTGCTTTACAGTATTTCAACTCTTCATTAATCCTCATCTGAGGCGGCCAATCTCCCCTCGGTTCCAGGCTCACATAAAAAGAGAGAGTTTGTCTCTTGAAACTTCTCGCTGTGTGGTCCGTTTAGTGCTGCGTCATCTGTGAAGACAACATTTAAGCCTCAAGGTGAGCTGGATAAAATCTACATGTTGAAGAGATGACGATTGACCTTCTCAATCTTGGAACAGCACAAGGAGCACACTTTCCAATAAGACGCGGTGGGCCTAGCTACTAGAAACCAGTTTCAGAAGTGAGATGCTATTCCTAAACACCGGCTCGCCTAAAGCTGCTGAACCATTAAAAAAACCCAACAACTTCACAATACATAATATCACTGTTGTCGGTAGACCCACTAAATAACTCAGACTACAAGTGAAAAGGTGAAAGGCTCCCGAACATTCCTGCAGAGGAAATTATAAATAGAATCAGCGCGTGTCAGAATAAATCATTGCAAACTTGCCGCTCAGCTCTTGGACTTAATGGAAGAGATAAACAGGAGTCACGATAAACTCTTCCTTTGCCAAGTAAGGCTAGAGCACCAATGAAATTACAAAGTAAGGTCAAATTTGGTTTTTTCGGGGTTTTTTTTTTTTTTTTTTTTTGCCAACAAATCGCAAGTTGTTCAAATACTATTTGGCTATTTTAGATCGCAAATATACAAACACTGAAATCAAACCAATTTCCGCTCAACGACGAATCGCTAACGCTGCGAAATGTGAATATGTTCACCTGCGCTAGGGTGCAGCTAATTCAGCGTTTAAACATCACACGAATACGTCGACTCTCAAGTTTTGCTAAGGTCCCATTTGCTTAAGTATTCCCAAATTGAATTTGTTTGTTGTCCTGAAGGCTATTATTATTATTATTATTATTATTATTATTATTATTATTATTATTAGCTAGCTGTTTGCTAGATAGCATGGTTAGCTACTGTACTGATCTAAAATAGGCTTGAAACAGTAGTTTTGGAGGAGCAAACAAGCCTGGCTGGTTGGTCACTTGTTGTTGTTTCATTTGAAGAAAACCAAAAAGTCATGCTAATATCAGGAGGCTACATTTTTACCCCTCCTGCTCCTGACGGCTTGGTGCCGTCCTGTTGCACATGAATGCTGAGCCACATTCACTTTTATCGTGTTTCCGGCAACACCCAGCAAACATGTTACATTTTTCCGTTAAAAAAAAACAACAAAAAACAACAACATACAAGATAACGCATCTTTATTCATACTTTAGAGCAATACAAAGGGTAAAACAAGTAGAAATTGCCAAGATTTTGGTTGTTCTGAAAAGCCCAGGTTATCGGCACATGTAAAGAAATCAAATTAGTTTAAAGATTGAATAAAACAACCATTTATTAGCCAATGTTCCGGGGAGCAGACAGAGCGTCTCTGACCTCAAAAGAGCAGAGGCTGGATGGAGTCATGCAAAGTCGAGATGCACCGGCGGCGGCACACAGGCAGGTATTAGTGCATGAAATGCAGGCTGCAGCCATTATGTTACAGCCTGAATAAATTGCTGGGATGTGGCTGATCCATCCAGCTGCATGTGAGGAAGATCACGCGTGAAGCAGCGGCACAGCTCAAGCTCGCAGGAATCGCCTCGCTTAT